CAGTTGAAAGACCTCCATTGGCATAATTTAATCCAATTATATTATGTTACAAGAACACATGGGGTTTGCTATTATATGAATTAAATATCTGCTGCTCATGTACGCCCATTTTTTAATTGCAGGCTGTCTCCGATGGGCATGATTTTCATTCCTTGTTACAAAGGTATTTACTTTTCTTATTGCGAACCACTTGCACTTTCAGCATTTCTTGTGCAATCCATAGCTAAAAGAAAGGGAACAAAATGTAGTTTGTGCTCTTCTTATAATTATTTTAAAGACCTATAGTGATTGAAAAGTAGAGCTGTAATCTTGTGTAAATAAACATCTAATGAATGAACTAAGAATTCAGAAACATTTAATATAATTTTTTTCATGTTAAGTTAGACATGGAAAAAACACTTCTAGTCATAGCCTTTGATCCCCATCCCCATCCTACCATACCCAACTTTTGACTGGAAAATCCAATTTAACTGGTTGAGGATTGGGTTTTCCCCAACTAGTAAATGGAGGGTGCCAAGTGGGTTTGAATATTCAGATGTCTGTCTCAAACTCAAATTTGACCTTATCTTGTTAATAGTTTGAAGATTCAGATGTCTGTCTTAAATCTCAAACTCAAATGTTTTTAAGAGCTTCATAAAGAAAAGAATTTGTCAATATTCTTTTTCTTGCTTTTACAGGGTACAGCCATAAGCCTGAAGAGTTTGCCAGCATTCAAGATATGTCTAATGGTGTAAAAGTATTGGCGCTCACCCTAGCTAAATTGTCCAGTCAGTTACATCTTCTGAAGTGAGTTCATGTGGACTATCATTGTTGAAAAAACGTAATTTATTTCTGTTAGACTGTTGACTGTTATGGCTTACTGATTAAATAATTTAAAACTTAATCCCCCCTTTTTTCTATCAAGATGAGGGGTTGAACTATTCAATATGACAAGAAGATTTATTAGAAACACTTTTTAATGTTGTAAAATGATAATTGCCTGCCTGTGGAAGGACTCACAAGAGTGAATTTTACTTCACCAAACTGCTTAAAAGACAAAGAAACTACTGGTATTGTAGAACCCAGTTGCATACACCCCAACCAGAATAGCCTTTTTAAATCTTAAATAGTTGGACCACTTTGTATGGAGACAAAAGACATCTTACTTTTCTCTATTGTCCATATTACATTTTAAAATCCCACCTGATTATAATGGTCAAAACAGCTGGATTCAATAAATAAAAGTGATTAGAATATAAGTGGGAAAAATACATATTTTTAGTTTAGTGGTTGGAATAGCCCTTCATGGATCCTTTGAGTGAGAAAATGATATTGTGGGTTGTAAGATCTTCCTCAAGAAGAAGGAAGTTAGTAAAGTAAGGATGAATTTTAGTTGTGATGCTCCAGGTGGGTAGTTTCGCCCATGCCTATGTTTATTGCTTAAACTACGGAGAGATTCAAAAGAACAAACCGCTCATTCTTCGCTCTCAAATTATGACTCAAACTCAACCTTGACGTGGGAAGGTTTGTACCTACTATTTTGTACTTCAATTGACTTAGATTGTGATTTATTTGACCTCTAAACCATTGTTTTTTAATGTAGCCTTTATATTCTTAACTTTCTACTGTTAAACTAATAATGACTTTTCAACAGACAAAACAGGGTAAAGCAATTTTTGTAGAAAATAATCGTGACACACGTTATAATAGGACTTTTCTATTCATTGTGTTAATTTTTATTGAACTTTGCCTGTCTTTAAAATAGGTGTAAATAGGATCTTGGACGGTACAAATTATAATTGAACTTTGACAGTTTTTTAAACAGATGTAAATAAGATTTTAGATTAAATACAAATAATAAAAATTACAGTGAATTAAAGAGTCCTGTTACAGTGTGTGTGTCAGGTTTATTTTTTACAAAGTGGTATCAAAACTTTAGTGAGAGAGGAAAAAAGAAAGAGAGATGAAACATATGTGAGTTGTGCACATTTATTTTGGTTTTTTCTTTAAGCTGTGCACATTTATTTTGGCTTTTTTTTTAAGCTGTGCACATTCATTATGTTGAGAGCCTTTGACATCTTTCTTACAAAAACACCCAAGCATTTATTGTTTTCTCGAGAGTGTTTGACCCTTATCTGAAATCACTTTGTAGAAAATAAAAGTGACTTACGTCATAACAGGATTCTTCAATTTTTTTTTTTTAACTTTTACTTAATTTTGACAACTTTTAAATAAATAAATGTAAATACAACTTTCACCAAATACAAATAACAAAAACTAAAAACAAAATATTAATTAACTCAAAATAAAAACAATTATTTAATATATCTTTATCTTATTTTAAAAAAATAAAATATTGTATTTAAATTAATGAAAAATTAAAACTATTCATCCTTATTTTATCTTTATTAAAATTAAACTAAATATTATTAGAACTAATACAATAAAATTTAAATAAAATTACTAATAAACTTTTAAAATTTAAGTTTATCGTAATCCTTTTAACTCACGAATTACCTTCTGGATGTGAATGCTGAAATGTATAATTGCTCATTATTTCTCCTGTTAAGTTTCTTGCCAGACGAACAAATGAATGCAAACTTTTTCTCATGAAAATCTAGCTATCATTTTAACTAACATTGGTTACTTTTTGAATATCCATAATTTTCTACGTGATGATGGAGTTGTATGTGAAGTGCATTATTAATATTTAAAGAATGTAATGCACGCACTTTCGTAATGAAAAATCAATGCAAACCGAACAACAAACATGCACATCCCAGGAAAGCTTTGCTACTTTTTCATGCATATGCTTTGATTAAAGCTTCAAGCTTTCGTTTGAAAAAACCCAAGCCACGAAATTCAAATTTTGTGTCCGTTATTTGCACTGGATGTTAAAAAATATTAATTTGCAAATGATCTAGGGCTAAAGACAATTCAAGAACTTGAATGAATTATTAACAATTTAATAAATGATGGGAGGGTGTTGGGCATTTTTCGAGGGGTTACGCAGGAACAGTCATGGATAGGATCTAAGCAATGCATTAGATGGAATGTCTTTTCTCTAATTGCTTTTCTGCAAAGACATTACCATCATGATTTAGTGATCCTTACTGGCAAAATTAATTAGTGTTTTATGTCATCAACCAGATCGTAACTACTATTATTTATTTATGATGGAGATACCACGTTGAAATGATAGAAACCTCATTCAACAGGTGTATACAAACACCAGAAATGTCCCTCTTAAACTAGTTTTTCGAATTGAGTTTTATTTAAACATAAATTCTAAGATAGAAATCAAACCATAGCTATAAATGTTTAGTCATATTTTAAAAATTTCCAAACTTTAGCACAAGGGGCATTGTTGAAAACCTTACCCTTATTAGTAATTAGTATTTGACTAATAATGATACACCACTTTCACCGGGAGTTGAGTTACACACTTAAAGTCTAAGAACTTATTTATATTTAAATTTGGATTAATAAACATTTTGATACAAATATTTCCAATGATAGATTATCTTATTAGGCAATTTGATGTGATTTCTCTAGTTAGGTAAATTTTATAGACACATATTATACCTTCCATTTTTAGTATTAAAAACCGTATATATATACAAATTCAACCGTGAGAACAATCCTTAAGTGCAAATAATAACTAAATAGAAGTCTTCTTATAGTGGCGATTCTAGGATTCATGACGTCATTCTTTAGTAGAATATACTCATTTAGTAATGAATAAAACTTTGCCACTCTTATACACGTTATGATGCAATTCTATCTATATATAAGTGTGAGTTGTGCATGATTTTTATATGGGATTTAACCTTTTTTTTTTTTGGAAAAATAAAACTTATAGCAGAGATTAACATTTTTATATAGGAGGGGACCATCTGTTGATTATTGACGAATTTTATCAGGCACCTGTCAAACGTGTTTTTCAGCTTTCCAATTTATTGTTTGATTTATACTCCTAATCTTGATTTTAGCAATAAACTCATTTTGTTGCCTTTGAAAAAAAACAACTTAAATCCTAAGGTTGTGGTCGGTTTTTAATTGGTTGATTCAGCGCTAGTTTAAAAAATGTTACTGGAAACAAGGGAAATACATGATGTATGTGTGCCCTTTTTTTATTATAGATGATTAATTTAATTAAAAAATAACTGAATTTAAATAAATATTAATTAAAAAAAATAAAATGATAAAATAATTATTTTAATTTAAAAATATTTAAATTTAAGTTAACGATTGTTTAAAGAATAAAAATAGAAATGTAATTATTTTAGTTTAAAATGATGGTTATTTAAAAAAAATAAAAAAAATGAATATGTATAGATTATTTTTATTTGTTTTTTTTCGGCTTTATTCTCTTTAAGTAAAAAAATAAAAAAAATGAAGGATCCACTTATTTTCTAATTTCAGGTGTTAAATAACGGAATTTTAATTATTCCAATAATTCTTAGATGAGTAAAATGATTGGGATAACAACGCACCAAGTAGATCGAATATTTAATTTTATCTTGAAAATTCAATTTGACATGAAAAAAAAAAAAGAGAATACTTTTTCAAACTGAATTCTACAGAATTTCATTTAAATTCAAATTAAAGTTGTGAACTTTAACTTAGCATTCAGTAATTTTAGTAAGTAATGACTTGGAAAAGGGGTATGCAAAAAAAGTGTATGAATTATGAGGTTTTGTGGTAATGAAAGAGAAAAGAAAAGACTAAAAACACGCAATGATGTATCTGTACACAAATATCCAATTGTAAAGACAAAAACGAGAGGGTGTTTGTCTATTTGATTAAACATTGCACTATCAATTATTATAAAGAAAAAGAGAGATGAAGACAAAAAGTATTTGGTAGAATATTTAAATTTAATATAAGGGATTCGTTGATAATTTTATCCAGTGGCTTAAGGAAAAAATTATTTACAATTGTTCACCACAACAAAAGGGGGTGAATCCAAATTCAAAATTGGAAAGACGAAATTTAACACCGTTAAGAAACGGCGAGTGACCGACGAGGCTGATATAAACGCGCGACAACACAACATACACAGTACAGGACAAAACTCAGGCATAAACTCAAACTCAAAACACAACACACCAATACAGTTGCATTATTTCTTTCCAGATCCATCTAACAACGTGAGTCATTCTGCTCTCTTCTCCATTCCTATTTTTCAAAATGTACATTTTTTTTTCTTTCTGCGATCCTCCTACTCCCTGTTTCTGTGTCTTCTTTATTTTATTGCTTACTTTAATGGGTTGTTCAATTATTTCTTTTATAGTTTTCTGGTTCATTGACCCTTTGGGTTGATTTTCTTTAGAAATCGGGCTCTGTTTGGTTGATGGGAAAAAAAATTTAAGTGAAGGTTTAGTTACTTGTTGAGAAAATGTCTAATGTGGCTGAGGAAGAAGAAGACAAATCTGTTTACATGTTGAATTTTGGAATTCGCTTTTTCTTTATTGTTTCTCTATTGCAATGTATAGATAATTTAAAGTTTGAGTTTTTTCCCCTCTTTTTTGGGTTTTGGTTCTTTTCCTGGGAAGCATTTTGCACCTAAATCTTTGCATGTTTTGATCCAGTTTTGGAAAAATAATGAATCCATCGAGATTTAAACTTTGCCATTTCTGCTGTAACTTGAAATATATACTATAACCGCTCTTCACGTGTGATCTATGTTTATATTGAATTTGTCGGTGGACACCGTTTATGTAAGATATTCTCTTCGTTCATTTTGGAGTTTGAGAAAATTCAATGTATTTTAATTTCTCTAAACCACAACATGTTTTCCTTGGGATGATCTTCGTGGTTACACTTAAAAAGAAAATAAACCGGGCTATTCTTATTTTCCTTGCTAACACCCATATTTTTTCTTGCACATATGATGTCCTGTTTATGAGATACTTGAATTGTTGATTTTTTAATTATTAGAGTCTTAATCATTGATTGGAGACACCCACCAACCAATTTGATGGCTTTCCTTTTGCATGTTTTAGTTTATCTGAGTGCTTTTAAGCCTGGAATTAGGTAGACAATTAATTCTATTCCATATGATTTATGTTAAATAATGCACATATGCTTTCATACAAAAAGACTTGTCATGCTCATTTCTTGAGTTTTAAAATAATCTTTTGCCCCTTGGTTTCACCTTTTGTATTTGAACGCAACGATTAAGGATTTTAGAGAATATTCTCATCTTGCCTTGTGTTTATTAAATTTATAAGTACATTTAGGCATGTTAGTAGTAACAGTGTTTAAATTGTGAGTGTCAGAATCAATTGTGGTTGTAGTGAGGAGAAAATAGTTCTAATGAATATTTCCAGGAGAGAACAATAGTTTCAAGGATAACATCTAGATAATTCTCCGAACAAATTCAGAGAAATGTGTAATTATAGATTTCATGAAGGAACTTTTAGAAAATATCGTGTTCTTTGTAATACTTCTTTATTTGATTGTTTTAGAAATAAATTCTTTTGAAATGGTTTGGCGCATATCTTTTGTGGGTTAATTTTTCTTATCTTTCTACCCAAAATAGGTTCAGGGTTGACCTCAAATTTTTGGTGTCTTGTGGAAAACTGATAAATATTGTTCTTTTTGTATTTTCTTTTTGTTGCGAAAACACCTATAATTCTTTCATATTACCTTTTTTTTTTAAATATTTCAATAGAAGTTAGAGCAGCACTATTTAATCTACTTTAGCAGATTGCAAATAAGATTTAAACAATTTTAATTTCAAAAAACTTCTTTTAGTGCGTGCAAGAATAATAGGAATAGTTAATATTATTCTACAAGGTATGCCATGCATTAGGGAAACAACTAAATGTCTTCAAAGAATTCAATATCATAAAACTTGATTTTGATTTAATTGTTAGAATCTCTCAAATGAACTTTAATTCTTCAAACTCAATTTCACCATCAACATCGTAAGAATTATCATATTTTAGATGAAGTTTATAGATGTTTGTAATGTAATTTCAGGTATTGATCTTAGAATGAACCGAGTCTCTCAATGCTAAACGAAATCCAAAAATATTATTATATGTATTATATTGCTCAAATTTTCTTTTAAATGAGTCAATTGTTTTGATCTACATTATATAAAAAATAATGAATCCTACAAGACTATTGTCTTTTTTTGGGTGCTTACAAAATAAAAAATAAGGACATCCCGATTCCGCCCCTTCTCAATTATGCATGTACTTATTTTTCTGTTATGTATGTCAATCGTAACAGAGAACTGTAAAACAAACTATCCTTATTATTTGTGACATTTCAGCCAATTCAATTTATATAGTTTTCACATTTCTTTGCTATAGAGCGATGGGAATAGAAGATACAGATATTTGTATCATCAAGGAGCCAGATCATGTGGTAGTATATTCGGATGGCGTTTCCCATGATTCAGGTCATGAAGCTGGAGGTGAGCATCACAATATTACAGAGTCTTATGAACAAATCAACGAGACAACTGAACATCATAGTTCAGAGGAGAGTGCAAAGGAGTATGAGGTGAAGGAATGCACCACAGAAGTTTCTGTTAAGGTCTCTGATGTCAATAATCTTAAAAAGTGCGAGGAGAAGTTAACCTCAGATTCTGAGGATGTTGTCAGTGAGAAAAGTTTTAAATCCCACAAAATACGGGGCAAACACAAGCCACGAGACACTGTGAAGAATGGATCACGACCTCCTGCTGGAAATATTCATAGCAGGTGTACAGGCAGTGCCCAAATCAAGCCCACAGTTCCACAGCCGTTTTCCTTAGCAACCGAGAAGCGTGCTTCGGTTGGAACTCGTCCTGCTTTTGAAGAAGACAAGGGCAATAATGAGAGAAAATCTTTAAATAAAAAAAGCGTGCTATCTCCCAATATGTATAAACAGAATCAGGTATATGCTAATGTGTTAAATTTATTTCCATCTTTAATCGTTCTGATATCTTTATATTTGTGGAAAGGTTTTAAAAATAATCCCTTCTAACACTGTGATTTCTTAAATATATCATCAGGGAAGAAAAACTTTTTAAGTTTATAAATTATCTCTTGTATATTCATACAAAGTTCAGAACCAGACAGCTTAAGCTTTTTACGTCTATCCCATTAAGCGATTCCACAGAATGGTAAAATTGTTATCTTATAACTTATAAGGATTGCTATAAACATCGCGATTAAATGAAATTAAATTTTATTTGACCAAGTCATTGGTGAACTGTGTATGGTTAGCTTTTTTCTTGTTACTATTTATTCACAGTCAGTCTTAAATCTTTTATTTTCTCTGCTTTCACTTGCAGTTGTTAGTTTCAAGAAAGCCATTGCAACCTGATAACAAGAAGCATCCTGATGAGGATGATGCTTGCTCCGTAGCTTCAATGTATCCTCTTAAAAATGTTTAAGTTGATAAGTATAAAATTCTCATGTCATGTTTTTTCTTATTTTGGCAATGGGTCTACTTGCTTTTAGAATTTGAAATTTCTATTACTACTTGACAATGTAAAGAACCGGAACTTCTGTTAGGTCCATCAAATCCAGGGCAACTGTTTCTTCTGCTCCTGTGTTTCGGTCCACTGAACGTGCAGAAAAAAGGAAGGAGGTAACAACCTGTGTATTAGTTAGCTTTGTTTGAATAGGTTTTCCTACCTCAAATTGATTTGTTCATGGTCCCTTCCATAGTTTTATACAAAATTGGAGGAAAAGCACCAAGCAATGGAAGCTGAGAAGAATCAAAGTGAAGCAAGGACCAAGGTGCAACACTTTATCCTGTATATTCAAAACTTAGGAATACATTGCCAACTTGTTACTTTATTTAACAACATAAGTTTGTTTTCTCATTCCAATTCCTTCATCAATTTCTAAACATTTAAGGAAGAGATGGAGGAAGCTATCAAGCAGCTAAGGAAGAGTTTAACTTTTAAAGCAAGCCCTATGCCTAGCTTTTACCATGAGGGGCCTCCTCCCAAGGTTGAACTGAAGAAGGTATGTAATGTTCTTGTACTTGTTATAAAATCATGTATGGGGCGCAGTTTAAAAAAAAATGTTGTGTTCATCTTAAGCTCTAGAACTAAATTTCAACTGTAACTGAAAAACTGCTCATTATAATTGTGAAAGATCTAATTACATAGACATATTTTCAACTTCTGTGCTTGACAAAAGTTGAGTATTATGTCTGGGTCAGCTACCAGCCACGCGAGCAAAATCTCCAAAGCTGGGCCGGCAAAAGAGCGACAATGGTGCAGTTAATTTATCTGAAGGGGGTAAGGAGAAAGCATCTGGTATCCGGAGAAAGCATCACACACTGAAGACCAACAACTATGATGTTAAGAGTGAAGTGAATGACTTGTGTGACCCAAAAAACAAGGCCAATCATATTGAAGAAATTGATATGGCAAAAGTAACTGGACAAGCAGACTTGAAGATTGGCAGCCAGTGAAATATTCAGTGAGATTAGTTCCTCATTTTTCTAATTTATATGTATCTGGGGACTGCGGTCTTGTTTCTCCCAACAAACATGTTTTTCCTTTAACTTATAAGGCACTTGCTGCTGTGTGCATTGCGTAAGTAGTAAAATGTTTATTTGTAATTTATTTCAAATTATTTGTAAAATTAAATCCTATTGCTCACAAGAGCAATTTCAGCATTTGTTTGTCTGCCTGAAGTCCAGGATCAGATTGTTTGAAGTCATCATCAAATAATGCTGTTCGATTAGCAGTAAAGTAATTATTATGCTTCATTGTTGCCATTTCTTTAGCTACTTTTTCTCGCATTAGCAAAGCCGTTTGGGGTTTTAGTAGTAGTGTACGAAAGATAAGATAGTGCCATAGCTATGATTTTCACCTCCAACTTTATGGGAGTATATGGACATTACATGCAACATAAAAGGAACCTTGTTTAAAATTAAGATGATCATCCGTCTAGATGACCATTTTCTTTCTTTCAGTGACATCACTCACATTGGCATACTATGGCCATAATGCCAGAGGAATAACGTGCAACTTTGCTGAAGGGTCAAGTGCTTTCTGCCTTTAGGTGGGACATTAATGTCTAGTAGTTACGGTAGAAAGCAGAAATAAAAATTTTATGTCTATTGCTTGTATTGTTTTGTTTTTGCACGGCAAAAGAGAAACCCTTTTGAACAAAGGATACCCCATTTGTAAAAGCAACACTTCTGGTCTAAGGGATGGTGCTTCCTATCCATGTAGTTTAGTTTGTGGAAGCATATTCTAAAACCTTGTTTCGTTGTAGGATTTTCTGATCAAGAAAAGTTTTCTTAGAGGTCAAACCAGATTTGTGTTTGATATTGGTACAATTATTGTATACTGTCATAATGAGTAGAAGTGGTAAAATACAGAGTTTAAATTATTATTTTGAGTATGAGTTAAGCACGAAATTTTATTCGCCTGATAGAGTTAAATCTAAATGACGTAAATGTCTAAGTAACATGTGAACAAACCACATTTTAACATTTTTTAATGTAGATCCTTTATACAATTAGTTTAAGTGCATACAGCCTTAGAAAACATTTTTGTTTCAACATTTGTATATATTTATTTTCAATTAGAGTATGTAATAACCATGGAGTTATTTGTAACTAGTGTATTATTTATTTATGTTAATTATTACATTATTTATACTATTTATTTTAATATGTAATAAAACATTTTATCTATAAATAAAAAATATAAGAATTCCCTACTAAAAAGCATTTTTATTCATAAAAAGATCAAATTTATCTATAAAAAATATATAAATATTTCCTTTTATATCATTTTACTATAACATTTAAAATTAGTTATCCTAAATACTTCTAATTCAATATATTCACTTATAATTTTTTTTTAGTTTTCTGCAATTATTTTTCTGAAAACTAATAAAGTTTTCTAATAATCAATTTTTCTTTTAACTTTTAGCATCTCAATAATTATTTTTAACAGTTAATTTTACTTAACATATTAGTGTAATGCTAATCTTAATGCTTCATGGACATGTTACACATGAATATATAAAAATTAATTGAAGAAAAAAATTCTTTAATATTTTATTGTGAGGATTTTCTTTAACTCAGACATTGAAAGATGTCTTAGATAAATTAATTAGGTTACAGTAAATAAGTTTAAATACAAGATAATACGGATATCATCTTTCTCAGAATATTAGTATACTTTGGCAAACTAATTCTCACAAAGATAATTTCAAACCGAACCCAACATACAGGAATGTCTTAACACTCAAGATCCACCCTTAAAAGGAAGGTAACGTTAACTATTTCTAGGTTTATAAATAACTATCTACACTATAAAAAAAATTGAATATTTTAACTTTTAAGTCTCTCTGTTTTTTATAAAAACAAATATAAACCAAAATAAATTACAATATAAACTAAAAAAAAGGACTATATATAATTTTATTAAATTAAAAATGCTTTTGCAGCTCTTTAAAGGGTGTGATATTTTTAAGCGAAGGATATCACGGCATGTTATCTGAAATTCGTATGAAAATATTAAGATATCTATCAATATCGATGAATATGATGTGAATAATTCATCAGCTGAGTTTAACTACACTTCACATGCTAAATTATTGAGAACTGAAATCTTGAGTGATATTAAAAGGTGGTTTTGTTATTTTAGAGAAAAGAATAGCGAGATTCCATTCAATGTAGTTAATGTTTTTCACCGACACATTGAAAAAAATGGTATTGATATTAGGTGATGAAGTACGGAGAAGTTTCTTTGATCGGCATAGTGAAGTGTTACGTTAGATGCAGAGGGTGTGATTGTGTGTCCAGTCTACAATGATGAGTGGGCATAATCTCGAGTATCTACAAGAAAAGGATGGATGAGAGTGAGAGAGTGACCCTTCTTTGGTAACAGAGGGTTATTAGCATAACATTTTTTGTAGGGTTGAGAAACTGAGAATGCAGATTGCAGAGTATGAAAATGTGAAGGAAGAAGAAGAAAGCAATTTGATGGTGTTGGGGTTAGAGGGGCCATCGTCCTTCTCAAGTTCCATGACAAGTTGCTATCGTCCTTTAACTCTTACTTTTTGCATGTGAGTTTTATTTCCTTCCATCTTCCCCCGCATCATCAGTTACTCAATTTGTTTCCTTCTCCCTGTTTTTATCGTTTGTTATTCTCCAATTTAACTGTCCCACACACTTCAAAGCGGACAAACACCATCCTATCCTTCCTTCTAAATCAATCACCCGCATGCTCTAAATTTTTTTATTCTTTCTTTCTTTTTTTCTACTCATTGCTTCTATCATTACATTCCCTCACTTCACGACTTTCCTCACTTTCCTTCCAAAATTCTTTCTTGGACCAGTTTTTCGCTCGCCATTCTATAATCTCTAAACCTTAATAGTCAACGTAGGAACAACTTCTACTTCTGCTTAACAACTAGGTCAAACTCTCGGTTTCATCCCTAACTCAATTTTGGGCTTCTTTCGCTCAATCTCATCATCATGCTTACTTTGCCTAACTGCATTTTTCTTTCCTTTTTTCCCCCGTTAGGACCACAACAATACTTTCTGCATGTTTAGAGCTTCGTGGAATTATAAGCTGAAAACTTATCAAGAAATTCAAATCACAACATTTTTGCGTATCTAATACCTACACTTTTTGCCCTCACTTTTCAGTAATATTTTTTTTTTCCTTCACAACACGTTCTGTTTTACTGTCCACTGTCCACTTTCCACTTGCCACTACCTACGCTTAAGATTATATAGGTCTGGCAATAACAGTATTTCTTTCATTCATCAATGAAAGAACCTATTCACTCTTCATTTGCCCCTTTTTCTAAGTGGAAAGCAAAAGAGAATCCCTTTAAACACTCATCTCAATACCATGATACACAATAATTTGTGTTGTATCACTTTTACTCACTGCTTAAGTCATTCTGACAACATCAACCCCGTAAGCAAGAAAGAAACTACGTCTTATTATTTATTTTACAATAATGCATAAAAAGAAAGCAATAATATGCACAGAACCAAAGTCACTATTGATCACAATACACAACTGGCTCCATCAGAATAATATTGTGGAGCACGGACCCTGCTGACATGATTTTACAAAATGTACAAGTAATTCTACCCAAGTTTTTTGCAAGGAACAGTTTAAGGTAATCTTCTGAACTTAGACGGAGCTATTAAAGTCAAATGCAACAGCAAGACTTGTGTAGATGGTATTAAGTCTTCCAAGCAATAGGATTATACTATTGCTGGCCACGTCTGTGATAGGACTTGGCGGTGTTGTTTGGTAAGAGATTGGCAAGGCAGGTAGGACTTAAAGGGAACTTTGCTACTGAGCCTTTAACAGATGCTAAAAGATCTGTTTACTTTTGCATCACTAATCCACCTTAACCTTTATTGATTTGAAACCATTTACCATCAAAATAAGGAAAACAGACCTTATTTAACTCCTTTTTTCATTTTCCAAGACATAATCAGTATGTTTGAATTTTCAAAGATAACAGTTGAGATCTACGTCAGATGTATAACTTTGCAACTGATATACACATGGAATGAATAATAACAACGAAAGTGAACAGTCGTTTAGGTAGTTAGAACACGAAGAAGAACACAAACTAAAAAAACAGAAGGAAAGTAGTAAAAATCTTTTCCCCAAAGAAGGTTATATTACTTACATAGATCATTTGAACTAAAAACCAGGGTAAAATATTGTGTAATACACACTTAAAATCTGTGTGAAAAGCTTGACAAGATGGGGGAGCCATGGCATGTGGGACACACCGTTTTCTGACCCACATATTCCCCATCTTCACGTATATAAGGGCCCATGAAAAACAATGCATGGCCAAATCAAAATCAAACAGTCCTCACTGCTTCTGTCTCAAACCAAGTCTTTCTCTCCCACAATTTGTTCCACTCAGACGTATGAAGGAGTTGAGGGGAATGGTGTCTGGTTCGAGACCATTCATTCTAAAGCAAAGTTCATCCATCGTATCAGAGAATGATCTCGGACCAGGCTTCATTCCCCCTAGCTCAAAGTATCTGTCCTCATCTTCCCATTAACAATCTAATTCATTCTTTTTCCCATGATCTAGCGACTAACCATTTAATATTCATTCTTTCATCTCCAACAGAATTCAATTGCCTAGGAACGTGTAAGTTCAAATCTCTTTTCTCTAATCTTTTTCATCGGAAGTTCATGTGTTTCTTTCTTAAAATTTGCAGAAAAAAAATGACATGGATTATGACATAATCTGCTGGATACTCAAAGATTACTTGATTGGCTTCGTTTAAATTCTCTTTAAAATATGTCTGTCCATCACATTTCGTAATTTCCTTGGTCAAACGTGAAATTTCTATGTTTCGAATAGTCATTATAGTCCTTCTGTTTATGTTTAGTTCTTAAATGCTATATCCAATCTGCTTTTATTGATATATATATAAATAGAGTAATAGGGAAAATGAGAATGTGGTTAAATAAAACAAAAAGCTGATCATTAAGTTTTGTTTGGAATTGGTATGTGAAACACGGTCCTGATTGCCGACCCTTGTGTTGTTTTCACCAAATTCGTTGAAAAACAGAGTTGTTGTTGTGAAATGAAGACTGAAAAGGGAAAATGCAATAGATATGTAAAAAAGTTGAGGCTTATCTTTTTAAAGTTGAATTTTTGTCGATTGGGTTTGCTTGTGGAGAGTTGCAAAGAATATAAGATTTAGACCTTTCACTTTATTTGTTGCAATTGTAGGGTAGAAGTTCTTTTAGAGTGAAG